ATGTCTTTTACTAATATATATATATATATATATTAGCTGCATTAAGGCCGAGAAATTCTCTAGGTAAGATATACATAACAAGGAATAAAAGAAAAGGGTAACGTTACAGCATGATTTCATTGTTTGGTCTTTTTATTCGGTTCGTTATATATATTTATTGGCTTCACAGATATTAATTTTTGACTCCTAAAAGAAGTTTTGGGATGCATATTTATACCATCTTCAACAAGCAGTGTTGGTGCTTACATGTGCTATGTTATTCTTATTATCATCACAAATATGACACAAAGTGAGAAGAGATATCTTGCTAAAACTTGTACTCAAAATTATTAATAATGATGTTAATATTCACAATAACACAGATGTGACACAAAACACAAAGTTCAATTAGGATCACCGTAACGAGCAGAATTTCACCCAATTTATTTATTTACTAAATAATATTATTTATTATAATTTATACCCATGAAATTAAGTATTTTTAATTGAACCATTAACCTATCATATTTTACAAAAAGAATCCAATTAAAATATCATGTATTGGAAAGGTGTGGTGCACTAACTCTGGCATTAGTATGTGATAGGTTATATTTAATGGTTACTGTCTAACTGACAATCACCACCATTAATTAAACATTTTGATTGATCAAAAAAAAAAATTTACTATTATACATTTTGATTGATCAAAAAGACAAAACTATTTCAACCGATATGCTCTTAGGCATGGCCATACATAACATAGAAATCACACTTGGAAAGAGTGGACAATTAACTAAAACAGCGAGTATTATAAAATGATCAAAATAATAATTACTTCTTGTAATTTTTCAAAATATTAACATTAATGAAAGTGATTGTAATTTATCCATATATATGAAATAATTAATTTTTGGGTAAAAATATACGTCTATGAATTCAAAGAAGTGGAGCAGATGGTCAAGAAAAGCAAATGGAATGACGGTTTATGAAGGTGGGGGAAAATGGATCAAATGAGTGTTGGTATCTGTCTATCTCAGTCGAAGGGTTGATTTTAGATATTTGAATGGTTCCAAATGTTGATGATGTCAAGCATGTCATATGAGATAAATTTTGATATAAATTCCAAAACAAAAGACTGGACCATCCATCCGTCTTTGCATGCTCATGGTCCCACTTAAACAAGTTGTTCAAGACCAATACCTCCACCGATCTGCAAATAATTTATGGAGAATTAATTGTACGTATTCTTATTAATGTTAATAATGACTACTCACAATAATTCAGGGATTAGGAGTAGAGAAGACATCTTCAATTTTGACCTAAATTACGGGTCCGGTCCATTATTATTCCTAACCAAAAATTAAACAAATTTTCATAGGACTAGTTCTTTCCCGCATCAAACCCTAGGGGGATTAGCTTGGCGTAGTGACAGAATTTCAAAATAAAAATCTAATAGAAGTTCCAGTTGAAAACCTTAAAATCACATGTTAAAATACCAAAATATAATATTCATTTTGGGTAAACTGTTAAATATTATATGTCCAAAAAATTGTAAAATTGATTACAGACAATTGAGTGTCACATAGCTACGGGTGCCACTCATTGTTCAGACACCGTACTAGTCGTTTGTCTCAAATAACAGGATTAATATTGAGGAACGATCTTTTCTCTCAACATCCTTATAGCTTGAAGGATTATCACCAGTGGCCAAGCCACATTGGGGACCAGTGGGGGCAATTATCGTCATGTGAATTTTCTTTTTGTTTTATTTTTTACACATTAATCCTAATAATTGTTAAAGTGCCTCACTAAACTTTTAAAATATTCATAAAAGACTTTAAGAAAAATTTGCAAAAATCAAAATGATCTCTAATTTTTAAACTCATTTTGCCCAACAAGTTTTTCAAAATCCAAAAAAGCCCTATGTTTAAGAATCAAAATTTAGAAAGACTCCTCATTTACGATTGAATTTCTATTATTTGTATTTTCTACACGCAAATCTTGATAATTATAAAAGTTGTCCAAATTGAGCTCCTAAAAATTCACGAAAGAAAAACATCTAAAATTCACAAAGACCCCTCATTTTCTAACTCATTTACCCAACAAAATTTTCAAAATTCAGAAAAGACCCATGTTCTTTTTCCTCTCATGAGTTCCACAAAATTTTAAAAATCAAAATTCAGAAGAAGAAATAACCCTCCATTTCTATTTATTATTTTGATTCAAAATTTCTTATCATATTAATTCCCACTAAACTAAATTTCTGACTCCGCCATTTATCGTAACTGGGGGTATTAAATGCAAAAAAGAGGTAGAGCCATTTATGAGGATGACAATTGAGCTTTGACAAGAAGAAACTGCACACACAAGTAGAGAATTGGTGGATGGTTGGGGTTGTGTTGGGTAGTATCTTAGTCTAATTTGCAATTTGTTACTTAGTGCAACTACAAAACAACGTGGCAGACTTAACTACATGATCAATTAAAAAGGAGTTGTAGAGGAAAGTTCCTACAAACGACAATATGAAGTTGCTAAGAACAATATATTTGTCCCAGTTGCACAAAACTCTTCTATTTTTTCATTTTCAATCTTTATTCTTAGAATCTTAATAAATAATAGATAACATCAACTGGATGGGGTTTTCTTTTCTTTTTTCAAAAATTAATAGTTACGAACTTTGAATGCAACTTTAAAGGATTTTATTATCAAATTTATATAAATTAGTTTAAAGCGGGAATCTTCAACCCAACAAGCAAAAGAAAAAGTGAGTTGGTGGCTACAGTCAAGTTTTGACACCCATGCAAGAATTATTATATATTAATTTTAGTTCTTGAAGGGGGAAAAAAAAATAATAATAATAATTTAAAATTTCTCTTGATTGAACATAGTTAAAGTAAGATAATTTATATGTTTTCGCCTACCATTTAAAACTGTTTTAAAACCAATTTTCTGTCATTCAGATTATTAATTTCAGTATGGATTTTTTGTGGGATAATTTGCAAATTTCATCATTAATTTCCCTTTTTTTTTTTTTTTTTCTTTCCTTTTACTCTTATTGTTATTTTAAAACGCACCCCCACCCTCTTTGAGGGAGGAATTAATCTCGTCAATAATCCTTAAACCTTACTGACAATAAAAAAAAAAAAAAAAAAAAAAAAAAAGTTACCACATTTGAATTGTATTTAGAAGCATGTTGAACTATTTAAATATTAAATTCACTTTCATTATTGGGTTTTCTTACATTTTGAAAGAATTATTTCATAATTAGACCATAAGATCTTCTAGAATTTCACTTTCATTGTTGGCTTTTCTTAAAATTTGAAAGAATTATGTAAACAATTAGATGTATTCTGGTATAGTAGTCTAATAGTAGTTAAACTAAGCATAAGAGAAAATGGAAAATTCAAAATGAAAACTTGAAGGAACAAAGAATAGTACTAGTAGTAGTCTTAAGCTACAAGTGGGGAGCGTCTCTATTTAGAGCTTTGAATTGTTCATAAGAAGACCATGAAATAGCCTCCAAGTTGTCACCATAAATTAAGGGAAAAAAAGAGGGAAAAGGGCCAATTGCATGTATAAATATGTGATTGCCCTTGCATCATTGACCATCATGCTTTTAGGGATTTTGATGTTTACCCAATCACGCCAAATATTAAGCTCATGCATCACTCGTGAGTGTGTCCAATGCATATCTTGGGCCCAATTGTTCCATGTTTATACACTACTCGTGCTGCAAAGTACAAACCGCGCGTATATATATAATTTGATACATATTTGAGTTTACAGTAGACAATTTGTGAAATGTTACTTGCCAAATAAATAAATAAATAAATTAAATAAATTTATAAGATAGGATGGAATTTTCACTTGGAATATTCATAGTAAATTCTAATGATTATTACTAATGTGTGTGTATGTGTATATATATATATATATATATATATATATATATATACATATACATGTATGTATTTGTTGAGAAGTAATGAGAGAAGAGGACGGGTAAAAGAAGCTCTAAATTTGTCCGACTCTGAATATGGACCTGGACCGTGTGACTGAGAGGGCAGTGGATGCTTATCTTATCCTACGATTTACGCTTCTTCCAGCAACTTGATCTGCCATATGCCTATCTATTTGCAGGGGCTATTGAGCTATTTGTCCCCCTTCTTCAACCACTATTTACATTATCGCCACTTTTATTTTGGTCAGGGGGAATCATTCTTAGGCATGGAATGACTCATTTGCCCCCATTGCAACTATTTATTATTTAAGACAACAAACTGGTAACCCATAATAGGACCTGGATGCACCTAGTAGAGTATGAAACATTTCCATTTCTGAAAGCGGAGAGTTTCAAAAGGTTTCATCAACCACGTCACCGGCCTAAGCCTGCCCACATCATACTACATTTTGGAGCATGCCAAGCAATATGCATTTTTTGTTACATTGCCACTAACAATTGTTATGGTTTTATGTTTTGTACTAAGATATTTTTTAAAATTTTGAGTTATTATATTAATTACACACATTGTCACATATGATTTTTCTTCGTTCTTATCCAAATAATGGTATATGACTTTCAAATGAAGTTATTAATCAAAGAAATAAATATATAATACAACTTTGAAAAGATAAACATAATAAAAGTGATTTAATTATGAACAATCATATATATATATATAAAGCAAAATTATTATCAAAGGTCTTTTCCTCATGTATTTTGCCTACAACTTTTTTAGATTGCATTACAAAAGAATCTACTAAACTAATCTTGTGAATTTATGCTTCAAATCTTCTAGTGAGATTTACTTAAAACAGAGAACAAGAATTATTAAGATCCGTTGGAAGAGGTCAAAATTGTAATTTCAAACATGGGATACTTTGGTAACTTCATTAGACCAACTAGGTCTTATTTTATTACTCTCACATGAAGTTTCATTAAACCCCCCGAGTTGGAAAGTGACTAACCCAACTATACCCTTCTCTCCCTTTCCCAATATATATATATATAATATACACACAAAAACCACACATCCTAAAGTAACTAAACCCCCTAGACCTAAAGCTACAACTCTTTGTTTTTCTCTCTCTCCCTAAAACAGAATCGAAACTCATAAAAAATGCCTGCGAATCCACAAAAATCATCTCTTCTCCTCCACAGAATCAACTATGCCACCACCACTAACACCAGCACTTGCCACAAACAATCCCAACAACAGCAGCCCACCACTCTCCTGAGGCGGAACCCTCTAACGTGCACCACCCCCGTCCCAGACTCCGTCGGTCGCTACCACATCCACACCGTCAGCCCCAACCAGTGCTGCTCCGCCGTCGTCCAACAAATCGCCGCCCCTCTCTCCACCGTGTGGCCCGTCGTCCGCCGCTTCGACAACCCACAAGCCTACAAGCACTTCGTCAAAAGTTGCCACGTCATTTTCGGTGAAGGCGATGTCGGCACCCTCCGCGAGGTACTCATAATTACCATAAACTTAATCTATTGATCAATTACAAGAAAATGTTAAACACCATTTTATCTGATCAATATATGTTCGTCAACATCTTCAGATACATGTTATCTCCGGCCTTCCGGCGGGTCACAGCACCGAGCGGCTCGAGATTCTCGACGACGAGCGCCATGTCATCAGTTTCAGCGTTGTCGGCGGCGATCACCGCCTCGCCAACTACCGATCGGTGACGACTCTTCATCCGACACCGGCCGGCGATGGGACCGTCGTGGTCGAATCGTACGTCGTCGACATACCGCCAGGAAACACGAAGGAGGACGCTTTCGCATTCATTGACACCATCGTCCGATGCAACCTCCAATCGCTAGCTCAGATCGCCGACAACTCGGGGAGACGAAACTCTTTATGAGTATAGAAATAAAAAGAATCAATCAAAACATGAATTTGTCATTGTATATGATGTGGGTTTGGACTCGTCGGGTTTCAATGTTTTGAAGTTGTTCGTTAGTTCTGAAAGTGGCCTGACCGGAGGGGCATGTTTTGAGGCTTTACCATCACCGCCGGCTTATAAATTTATTCATAATTTTATTTTGTTGATCTTTTGTACTTATCAAACAATAATGACATACACCCATTTCTGAAATTCAAATTTCCCTTTATTTTTATCACATGCCATTTTTAATTCACCTGACATATATGGAGAGAGGAATTAAGAAGTATGAATTCACGTTTAAATGGGCGACCTTGATGGTGAAGTTGTTAAGGCGGCTGCGAATGATGCTAATTAAGTAATGTAATAATGCTTTTGAAGTGATGAACACAAGAACATGGAATATTCTCTATCTCATTAGAAGATACTTTGTGTTTGCTTGAGGTTATGAAACTAAAATTAAAATTAATTAGAATACAAACCAACCCTGTTTTTGACCATTTTTAAGATATAGGGCTTCAATCCTTCTTAATGCATCAGTGGTTACACTCAATTAATTAGCATTGACAAGTTGATTCTAAAGGAACGGCTAACTAAAAGATCGGCCCAAATTGCACTGTTGATAATAACTGCATTAATTTTTGGATTGATAATAACTGCATTAATTTTTGGATTAACAACGAATATAGTTTATGCATAATGGTTGTGATTCATGAATTTGTTGTTTCAGAAAATTATATTTTATATTTTTCCAGCTGTAATCAGTACTTATATCAGCAGGGGGAGAGTACTTCTATTCTTAAAATATATGAATAAATGTGTATATATATATATATATATAGATGATTCCTAACAACTGCCCTCTTGCAACTTGACTTTATAATAACACAACTGGCTGTCAAAAGAAAGAGCAACTTGCTGCAACTTGTTTTTTTTGTCTTTTTTTCTCTTTCCAGTACTTTCTCTCTCTAGTCTCTACATGTGTGTGTGTGTGTGTGTATATAAAAGAATATATCTAAATGCAAGTTGTTAGCGCTCACTCTCTCTTTCTAGATGTTTGTGGTGTGTTTTGTTTTTCTTTTGAATAGATGAATGATAAAGGGTTGTTTTATGCAAGTTGTGTGTGCAAGTGGGCTTAATAAGAGGTGCTTTAAATGATCCTCCCCGTGCCGCTCTTGTCTACTTATGAGTGCTTTCACGTTACCCATATGGCCATACCATATCATACCATGCCCTTCTCCTCTTTTATTCTAGTGTGTCCATAATAACATATACATATACCTTGTTTCTGACCTTTTGCTTGAATTGACCACACAACACCTGCACCGCCCTGCAACCAACTTGCTAGCTCATTTTTAGTTTCAGATCCAAATCTCACAAATTCATCTAGATATCAACCCTCTTGAGTCAGAATATATATGTATTATTCGTCATTTACATAGATATGTGCACCGCACAATGCTAGTGTATTAGTAGTCATTCACATGAATAGTTATAGTTCGAGCTTATTTATTATTCATCATTTTTCTCGATCGGCGTATTATTTCATTTATATGAATCCTTATAGTTGTTGAGTTTCTTTATTTTCTTTTTTTTTTTCTTCTCTAATTTAATATTTATAGAATAGATAAATTGGATTGTCAAGATTAAAAAATATATATATTATAGTAAAATTATTGAAAATAGTAAATAATAATTATGGTGAACATTTTGTTTTAACATGGAAAAGAAAGTAGATTTCTTATTATCACAGGACATGATAATTGTTTTTTTTTTTTTTTTTTTTACGTACAATCTTAGAATAATGAGAGGATGGTAGACATTTTATTTAATTTTAATGTGAAAAAGAGAGATTCCTCTTATCACATTAGTAAGTTAGTAACTGGTGACGATTTTTTTTCTAAGATAAATGACTCTTAATTAATTGATTAGTTTAGTATTGAAAACGTTGATCTAACATAATATTAATGGCATTTGATAACCGACGATTAAATATTTCTGGTAATCCAATTATGAATTTTTGATTTTGCAAAGGATTTGGCGGTGGAGAGCTTTCTGACAGTGATGTTCCGGTGATAGAGAAGTTTATACCAAGTGGTATACAAACAAATATATAAATATACACACACAGGTGTTTGTACTCTTCATTAAAGATAATTCAGATTTTTGGTAGCAGAATAAATATCACGAGGGCAGATTAGAATGCCCTTTTAGTCATTGGATTGAATAGACTGCAACTCTCTTATAATTTTATTTTATACTTATATAATCCATATTATTAATTACTTATATATTTGAAAAAATTACATATAAATGGAGTCAAAGTTTCATATTTACTTAGAGGCTGAGTCAAAGTTCCATATTTCTCTAAAATGAATTGCTGAGGTAGCACATGGTTTTTTACTGTTTAGAAATTGTGGTGCCTAAAATACCTTTCCGTGAAGGTACTACTTTTTCTTCGAATGTACTACTTTTTTGAACTGAAGGTACTACTTTTTGGCGTCCAGGTACCATTTTTTTAAACACCCGCGAAGGTACTACTTTTTCTCCAAAGGTACTACTTTTTTGAACTGAAGTACTACTTTTTTATTAGGGAAGGGCATTTTAGGCACCACAATTTTCTAAACAGTAAAAAACCATGTGCCACCTCAGCAATCCATTTTAGAGAAATATGAAATTTTGTCTCTAAATAAATATGAAACTTTAACTCCATTTATATGTAATTTTTCTTATATATTTTTAGTTTTAAAATATTAATTATAAGAATAGTATCAACCATTCTTTAGATCCAAAATTATGTCCAATTTGTAGGCTCAATCGGATGAGGCGTAACTAAAATCCGCAAGCTCTACCCGCCAGCAGACTGATCCAGCTAGTGTGATTGCCCAACCACCAAGCCTGCCCCGCCAACTAGGCTTGCACTTTGCTGTTGTTGACTTTGATGCCACTTTGCTGAAACCTCACAGTAATAATACACGTGTACTCCGTATACATACATGCTTCCTTGTCCTACGTTAGCAGTTCAATTTTTCATTTTAAGGTAGTTTCAAATTGGTTGTCCAATTTAAAATGTCAAAACAAAATAAATGTCATATTTTTTTTTTTTAAATTAATTTTTTAAGAACAAGTTAATAATTTTTAAAAGGAAACTATTAATTACATTTCTTCTTAAACATTTCTAATACTAAAGATGGATTACTAACAAGGAAAGAGAATAATAGTTGGGAGAGAATTGGAAAGGAACATTCACTTGTTACATTAAATTTTATTGGAGTAATTCATTTTTTTTCCCTTGACAAATTAATTTATTCAATCAATACACGGGGAATTTACTTTATAGTATTCCTAACCAATAGACATTCTTGCTTTTCTTTTTTAAAATTTGAATGTGAATTTAACTGGTCCATCCACTGTGATCGTCTAATAATTAGACACATACATGGGTTTTTATGTGGTTACAAAACATGGCCTCACTTGTTGACCGATCAAAGGCCTGACAGGCTGACAGGCCTTGGATGGGCATGGAAGTTACAGGACGATCCAGCCCAAATTGCCTACACTTTCTACAACAGTCAGCTTATGTACATGGAAAACGGTGAAATACGTTTTCTTTTTCGTTCAAGAACGGTGAGATATATATATGTGTCTACACAAGGACCACAACAAAGGACATCACTTTTTACAAAGCAAGTACAGTGATTTCAAACAATTCTAATAACACCAGTCTAAGAACAAAAAAGTTGCACAAAGCGCATCATCTTCTCATCCCATCTCTTCATTTTGTTTCACCAGTCTTTTGGGAAAAAAAAAAAAAAATTCTTTAAAAATATATTCTAACATTATTTATTTAGCAGTTATGAGTATTGGTGATTTTTCAAAGGACACAAATGACTTCCAAATGTGATTTTTAATCCTCACCCTCCTAAAAGGCTAAAAGTCATATTTTCTTATTTAATTTCTAAAACTCAGAATTACCTTAATAAATCAATTGTGCCTATTGGTGGATTTCAAAACATAGGTTGATTTTTTGTTTTGGAATGTGATGTAAGTCATAGGATAATGGACTTGTCCTTTCATCGTCCTGAAAAGTATGTTAATAGAAACTTTATAATATATTTATGAATTAGTAATCATGAATTAGTATTTATAAGCATTGTATAAAAACCTCACTTTACTCTACAACTTTACCTCATCCAAACTAATTTATGATGTCTTGATATGATAGAGTTTTTATTATTATTATTATTATAATAATTTTAACTTGCAATGAAATGCAAGTGAAGTTTTACCAGTAATATAGAAGGGGTCAAAAGCACATTCATAGGGTGAAAAGGACCACACAGGACAATGACCTTGTACACCCGATTCACTCAACTTTCATTCTCTTCGTTTTGTAGTCTTGCAGGTGATAAATATGAATATTTCATTCTGGTATTTTGCTCAATTTTGTTGCTTTTAAGACGTGGAGTTGTCACTAGTTATTCTAATCCTCTGTTTCAAAGCATGCATATTGTTTTTTTTTTTTTTTTTCAGTTATCCCAGACTTATCACAGAACTTCTGTCCATTAAAGTTTTCGGTTAAACAATTAAATCTGAATACATTATGGAAAGATTTCAGCATGGCATCAAGTATGATATATCACTTGCAAAATCAAAGCAAATGATTGGAAATTAATGGCATGTGGTTTATCCATCTTTTGAGGTGTTTGTGCTCTATAAAACTAGGTCACTGCATCAACAAATTAAATGTAGAGGGTATACCTAATGACATCTTCTTTTATTTTTATTTTTTTCTGCGGTATCCGAAGGTTCCATTCTCGCTAATGCGTATGTATGCGTATGAGAGAGAGAGAGAGACTTGACGACAAAGAATTTGGATTCAGAGACATCAACCACCCCCAACTGTTCGATTACCTACTGCTGAGTATTTATACGCTTCCAACAGCTCAGTTGTTACCAACAAAATCTGACAACTTGATTGCTAAAAAGTAAAAAGCTTATATAAGTTTTGTTTAGGTTACCAAAACTACCCTTTACTACTACTTCATCAGCCTACATTACGACGCAATATCCATCAATACTACATACATATGCCAACACCTGTCTTTGTGAAGACACCGTTCCGTTTTGTAGATATTCTAGTGGAGAAAAGTCCAATAAAAAACCTCTGCTTTGTATATATTCTGGGCGGAGCCGGTGTGTGCCCCCTAACCCTACCACTACTATATATAATTATTTTTTAAAATTTTTTTTCGGTGTATATAAAATTTACTATATAATGCCTTAATTTCTGAAACAATCTCTTAAAAAATAAGAGTAGAGAAAAGTCGAATCAAGTACCTTTGCTTTGTTTATATTTATCCTAGGGAATTAAGATGCATTACATACAATTTCCCCAAAATCAGTCAGTACTTAAGTAGTAACTAAGAAAATTTTTTTTTTTCTTGTCATTTTTATATTGCATTTGCTGCAGAATTCAAGGAGGACATACTTGAGATGCAAGTACAAGTCAAATGATTTGAAAGGAAACCTATTTTGGTCAGTTGAATACCAAAACAGATGGAACATCCAACAACCTGTGGATTGCTTTCAGCAAACAACCCACGCCCATAAATTCATTCACTGACTCATCATAACAAATTATGAAAACTGATTATTACCCACCAATTCAAACTTAGAGACGGAAGGAGAAATTAATATGGATAGAGAGTATTCTTATAATTCCCACACACAAAGCAGGGAAAGAGAAGGTGGTGTAATGGCAAAAAAGATCCAAACTAGTACAGTTCCAATCTCTTGGGGAATCAGGTGCAGCTTCCACTCCCTCGCCGCCCTTCTCATCACCGTCTTAGTCATCGGAGCCATTTATTTGACCGGAGAGAGTGAACTCTACTTAGAAGAGCCAGTGACCATTGAAGACGACAATCGCTGCGATTTGTTTTCAGGCAAATGGGTATTTGATAACAATTCTTATCCTTTATACAGAGAGAGAGAATGTAAGTTCATGTCTGATCAGTTGGCTTGTGAGAAGTTTGGAAGAAAGGACTTGACTTATCAGCACTGGAGGTGGCAGCCTCATCATTGTGATCTCCCAAGGTCCCTCTCTCTCCTCTCTCTCTCTCTCTCTATATCTATAGATATATATATTTATAAATTTGTATATGTGCATATATATATATATATATATGGCTATGTGGTTTGAGTTTTGTGGAATGTGTTTTATGGTTAATAAGCTAGGTTCAATGCCACAGCATTACTAGAAAGGCTAAGGAACAAGAGGCTTGTGTATGTTGGAGATTCACTGAATAGAAACCAATGGGTTTCAATGGTGTGCTTGCTCCAAACATCAGTCCCTCCAACACAAAAATATTCCATGCACGCAAATGCGAATGGCTCCTTGATCTCCTTCAAGGCTACTGTAAGTCCAATTTTTCATATATATATATATATATACATATATATATATATATATATATATATATATATATATTGCTTTAAGTGTGTGTTTTCCAGCCTACTCATTACAATAAATGCAATGAAGGAATACAATGCCTCAATTGAGTTCTATTGGGCCCCATTGCAAGTGGACTCTAACTCTGATGATCCGGTGAACCATCGCTTACCGGACCGGATAGTGAGAGTCCAGGCTATCGAAAAGCATGCCAGGCACTGGACAGATGCAGATATACTAGTCTTCAATTCATACCTTTGGTGGAGGAGGCCCAGAATGAAGGTCTTGTAAGTTTCTAACCATATATATTGACATCATTTTCATCAAATATATATTAAACTTTATTATATATATAGGTTATATTAATGGAATGTGTAACAAATGTACATTTTAATTCTAATGAATATGATGATCTGATAATCAGGTGGGGTTCATTTGGAAGCTCTGATGGGATCTACAAAGAAGTCGAGATGCTCCGAGTTTATGAAATGGCTCTAAAGACTTGGTCAGATTGGTTGGAAATTCATGTCAATCGTAACAAAACCAAATTGTTCTTCATCAGCATGTCTCCAACTCATGAAAGGTAAGCTTACTTCCTTTTTTTAAAATTAAATTCTGGGTGGAGGTCACGCGCTCCCAAACTCCATGCACAAATTGATAACGAATTCGTGCCAAATTTGCCACGGTCAAATTTTTATAAAGTGCGAATTCTAGTTTCTGCAACTTGCCCGCAATCCGCGTTTGTGGTGTTTTGTAACTTTTGTTTGCACAAGTAGGCAGTAATTGCAAGGGGCAGAGGGATTGAGCCCACAGCTGGCCCGACCAATATTTCTTTGTAACATAATTCAAAATAGGGTTAATTACACTCACACCTCCGAGGTTTGTTATATTGACAGTCAGATGAAAGTTAACCTCTTTTTGAACAATGACACCCCTTCAATTTTGATAAAGTTAATAAAGACCCCCAAACATCACCTGACGCATCATATATATATATATATATATATATATATATATGATGAAATGACCTATATGTCTTTTGACTTATCAACATAAAGCTTTGAATTATGAAATGACTTAAATGTCCTTCTAACCAATTTTAATCCCCTCTCTCACTGTCTTCTCAAATTCCCAGCACATCACCCCCAAAGTAATTATATATATATATTAACCAATTTTAATCCCCTCTCTCACTGTCTTCTCAAATTCCCGGCACATCACCCCCAAAGTAATTATATATATATATATCGTGTATGTGTGTGTGTGTGTGTGTGTGAGTTCAGCATCAATGGAGATTCAGTATGTAAGAGCGTTAATGGAGATGTCTCTCTTTAAGGACTCTCTTTCCATATATATATATATATAGATATACGTGTGGGTATGCATATATATATATATATGCAATATTGACTATATGAAACATCAAGCTTCAAACAATGAAGCAAGCCAGAATTTAATTGCAAAATCCAGAAACAAAAGTTGAGAAAAAAATTAAAATAATAAACTAAAAATCAATTTACATATAAAGTACAAATACAATATTTACACACGCCAATGAAACTGATTCCCTTCTTGTTGTCAGACATTTCCCAAAATATCAGCATAACGTTGAAGTGAAATTAGGGTTAGAGAAGAGTCACCAATGAGATTTGCAGAGGATTTCTCACAATCCAAAGGTTAGGGAAAAGGTAACAGAGAGTATGGTCTCGCACCCAGCAAATTCACTCTTACCATACCAAAGTTGCAATACCCATTCACGAACCCAAACCATAGCCGCACGATTTGAACCAATCAACAACAACACCCATCGCCAACAATCTCGCCGGAATCTACGACAATCGTTACCCGAATCTTCCTAAGCTTTTGTCCTCATCAACCGTCATCGTCATCGGAGTGTTTTCACTGCTACATCGTCGCCGGAATCTAATACTTTGTCATGGAGTTGTGCTTTACTATTGTCACCGGCAATTATTGTCGCAGTCATGTCAATTTGGTTGTCGCCGGAGCCTTTTGTTGGATCTTTGTCATTAAAATCTTCATTGGAGCTTTGCCCTAATCGCATGATGTGGAAGAAGACATGGATCTGGATCGTCCTTGGGAAAGATGGGAGAGGTGAGAAAAAAATAAAAAGTACAAAATAGTATTCATATTTTAGGGCATTTCGGTCAATTAATGTTTTATATATTTTATATTAAAATTTGATAAGATATTCAAGGGTAAAGTAGATATTTCACATATTTTAAGGGTTTGTTTGGATACAAAATTTGACAGGGAATGTCATTGTTCTAAAAGAGGCTAACTTTTATCTGATTGTCAATAGAGTAAACCTCAGGAGGGGTCACTGTAATTAACCCTTCAAAATATAACTACTACTTCTTAAATTTAAGGGTTAATTTTTAAAAATCCCCACTAATTTTAAAAAATGATCATTAAACCTTTATCAGTTTTAAAAATTCCCAACAATATAACAACGTTATCATTTTATCCCAATTCTGTTAATTGACCGCTAAAAGTATGTGAAATGACTAAATTACCCTTATTATATTTTCTTTTATTTAAAAAACAAAAAAAAAATCATATTTTAGAAATTACAATATTATCCTTTAGCACAAAAGGACTGCGTTTAGGCTTAGTTTGGTAGAATGAAAATGGGAGTAAAGGGAGGAAAGGTGATGGAGGGTGATTAAAAAATTGTGTTTGGGTAAAATGGGTGGAAGAAAAGGAAAGGAGAGGGAAGGGTTTGGAGGGTTATGTATAGCTTTGTACATGATTTGCTTATCCTCCCAAAAAAGGGAGGAAAGGGAAGGAAAGGGAAGACAATGACTGATGCAATATTTGTGATGCCAATTTTACCCTAAAAACAATATACATACAAGTTAGCAGTTGCAGAAAGGATGAGAAACGGCGGGCAGCGGCTGAAGCTTGCGAATGGCAAACCCAAATTGGAACAGCGGCGATGGAAACTATAAGATATTGGTTTTGATTTTCTGAACAATCTGAATTTTTGATTCTTGCAGACAGAAAGATAAACTGAAATATATGGGTTTGGGTTTTGAACTTCTGATTCTTGTAGTGCAGAGAGAGAGATAGAGAGAGAGGGGGCAAGTTTAGAGTTGAGAACCATAATAGAGATGGAGGCAAGATGGTGAAGGCTGAAATGATTTGCCCTAATTTTTTTATTTTTTATTTTTCTTATGGCCCATGGGGACTATATATATATATATATATATATATATATATATAGATGGAAGCGAGATTGGGGAGGCTGAAATGATTTGCCCTATTTTTTTTTTTTTTCTTTTCTTGTGCAGGTATAAGAGACTATATATATATATATATATATATATATATTTATTTATTTATTTATTTTTAAAAATATAAAAGGGTATAATAATCAATTTATTAATATAATTCCCTTTCTTTTCTTTCTCTTTCTTTTCCTAAACATAATTATTATCATTCCCTTTCTTTTTCTTCATTAACCAACCAAACACGATAGGGGGTTAAAATTATCATTCCCTTCTCTTTCCCTCATAACTAATGTTTTCCTCGCCATTCAAACCCACCGTACCATTCTCTTTCCCTCATAACTAATGTTTTCCTCGCCATTCAAACCCACCGTACCAAACATACCCTTAGTGTCAACACACTTGGACATCAAAACCCCGGCGTTTTATTCAAAGCAGCATTTGTATTGGACATTAAAACGCTATCGTTTTGCTTGCTCCTGCCAAAGAAAGCGACGGGATCAACACACGACATAAAGACCCAACTACTCCGATGAGTTTTAGAACGCCGACCATGGGGATTTCTCGATCTCCGGTGAAGTGAAGGGCCAGAGAAGTGGATCTGTTGTTACCGGCGGCGAAGAACATTGACGGAGAGGACGACTTTGAACTGGGTGTGAACAAATTGAAGAGTAACAACTGTAATAGTCATCTCTTCATCAACGAGTAGCGACGCGGTCCGACATCAACCTCTCCCTCCCCGGCGATGCCTTTGATGTCGTCGTACGAGCCAAGACTGCCCTCGATCTCGCCTGCCCTGCCGTCCTCTCCTGCGTCGACATCATCGCCATCGCTGCCCGGGAGCTCGTCACCATAATGGCTCGCCTACCCCACCGTTGTTCCCTTCGCCTAATGCGTCGCCGATCTCTTGGTGGCGGTGTTGTGCTTGTGTATTTAGATGTGTATGTATAAATGTCGCCGCCACCACCACCATCACTGTCCTCTCTCTTTCAATCTCTCTTATCGCAAGCCCCGCTCTTGTCTCAACCACACCAACCACACCATATATGCATACTCTCTCTCTATGCAATTTGGAATTTTGGGATTTCAAGGAGTATGTGACCATTTCGAGTACGTGGACTCGGGATTATCTGCCCGTATGTGGAATTTCGAATTTTAGATGCCATATATATATAATGTTGAAATCCAATTTCGCGAAGAATTCGTACGCCTTGCCATCTGATTTTGCTGCGGCTGTGAGTTTGACCTTTCTTGGGGGCATTTTCGGAATAACACATATAAATATATATCACTTGTTTGACACATGTTACACCAGGAGTATTTTTGTCACAAAAGCCACATAGGCAAAACAACTTTGTAATATTGTTAAGATTTTTTAAAACTGGTGGGAGTTTAATGATCATTTTTTGAAAGTAGTGGAGGTTTTTAGAAATTAACCCTAAATTTAATTAATAAAAGCAACTATATATAAATATCTCATTACTTTTAAATTGTTTTACATTAAAAAAAAAATTTAAAAATATTTGATAAACTAAAATAGTAATGCGTTATGAAATAAATACATTTTTAAGTAAATGTACAAATGTTCTAACATGCTCTCACAATTTAGACTTTAAATACATAGAATGATTTACAATTGACTTGATTAGCTTGACTGATTGGTGTATGAAACATATTAAATAAAATAATTTTATTATATTTTATTGCTGTTTATATATATATATATATATATATATATATATAGGTTTTATTGTGTTTATTACTTTCTTTATCAATAACTAAGCATGGAACTTTTCAAAATTATAAAATAAACCCAACGCGTCCAAACTCAATCCATTTTGTAAAGTAGCTCATGGTATAGAATTAAAAGAATTTGAACTATTCATGAATAACTCAGTTCCTATGACATTGCAGGGGTGAAGAATGGGGCAAGGGTAAGGATCAAAATTGCTACAATGAAGTAGAACCAATTTCAAAAGAAGGATATTGGGGAAGTGGATCAGACCCCAAAATGATGAAAGTAGTGGAGAAGGTGATAGGTGAACTGAAAACAAGAGGTTTGAAAGTAGAGATGCTCAACATAACACAACTTTCAGAGTACAGGAAAGAAGGCCACCCATCAATTAATAGGAAGCAATGGGATGTTCTATCTCAAGACCAACTATCAAACCCTACTACTTATGCAGATTGTATACATTGGTGCCTTCCTGGTGTGCCTGATGTTTGGAATGAGCTCCTCTATGCCTACATTTTTCATCACTGACAAATTCAAAACAATGAGAAAGTTCCAAGGTTTCTTATTCTTAAGCTGCCTCAATTTCCATCAAAACTTAAAAATTTCTCTCGTGACAATGGTTGGCTAAGAAGAGGTTGATTAACAAAATTTATCCATTCCATGATTCCAAACAAGTTTCATTATCATCATTCTTGCCCTCACAGATGGACCATAGAATTGTATGAGAGACGGTGGCTTTAAACAACAAGAATATATGGTGAGGTATTATAAAATATTGAGTGGAAGCATTTTTTAAATTTTAACAAAAATTATAGGTACTTTTGTAAATAAAAAAATTTAGTGGGGGTTGTTGCCCATTATGAGAGCCCTTTAATAGATCCATCTCTAGGGTGACAATATTTGACATGACACGAGATAAGAGGGTTTGGATTTGGGCTAATCGTGTTTGTTTTGTAATTGTGTCGATCAATCCGCTAACTAAACGTATCATATTCGTATTTAACCATATAAACACGATTATGACATGATTAACCCGATTAACTAAACACGTCGTGTTTGTGTAAAAAATAACTTATTTAGCTAAATATATAAAATAAACATATCGTGTTCGTGTCAAAAATGGTTTAAACGTGTTTTTTCGTGTCATGTTTAGTCTTGACCTATTTATTAAATAAGTTACACGTGTCGTGTCGTGTCGTGTCGCGTTACACGTGTAATAATCGTGTCGTGTTCATGTCAACAATCTTAGACACGATTAATTCGTGTTGTATTTATGTCGACCTTAATCATGTTTGTGTGACACAAACACGACACGTCAACACAAATTGCCACCCTTATTTCTTGCTTTCTTTTGTTTCATATAAATTTTCTTTTTTCAAATTTTTTTTTTTTTTTTTTTTTTTTTTTTTCAAACAAGTTTGCGATTGGTCAGAAATAGACATGCCGGCGGACAAGAAAAAAGTGGACATGGAATAAGATTGCCAGGAACTATGATTTGGTATAATGGTAAAATTTAAAATGACAAATGTAAAAACGTAAGTTAATTTTGATTCTAAGATCTAATTTATTCATACCAATGAGATAGTAAGCTATATCACATTCTAATACACTCACTTATGTTGCGTAAGTTTAAAAGAATATGGATACAGGGAATGATTGATATTAAATTTGTAGACCTTTCTTGGGATCCAAAAGTGTAACTTCATCTCTAATTTCTTCACGTTCTCAAATTAAATCACATACAAACAAATTTAGCTTGGTTCGTACCAATTTATATATGCATATTACTATATTTTAATATTATATTGTTCTCATTTTGGTTAGCAATTATCATTATATCGTCCTTGGGAAGAAGAAGATCAAATATAATATTCAAAGTCGCCCTGACAATAGCGAATTTGGCATTGGAATTGCAACCAGTAGAACTAAACGTGCAGTATAAATTGGGCATATAAAAAGTAGAAGATAAGTAAAGTTGCATAACTGTTTAGCTTAAGTTGCAAAACTGTGCCCCAACATCTAAGTGATTCCAAGATCCAATATCTTTTTTTCTTTAAATTTCCAAGATCCAATATCCGTTGACCTTGTTACAATATGAAAGTAATCCAAGTATGAAAGTAATCCAAGGTTGTGCCATTTCTGAGTCCCGGTAGTTAGTTGGGCGAAACTTCAGATACCTTAGTTATTCAAAAAATAAAATAAAATAAAGATTTTTTTGAACATTTGATGAAAAAGATTAATTAAAATTTTTTTTTGGGTAAATTTTTTATTGGTGAGAGCTTCGGGCACAACTGCTTGTTGTGTTCAAATTTCAAAGGCTCGATGGTTCATCGGTGCACAGACACTACTTACACACTTAATTTGTTTATTTATAGACTTAAATTTTTACCATTCACTTTAGAAGGTAAAAGAAGATATTGCTAAACCACAAGATTACTTCTTTTTTTTTTTTTTTTTCTTTTTTCCTTCCTTTAAAGCACGTGTTTCAACCCCACAATATACGCATTATTCAAGTCAAGGGCGCGATTCAAAAACGAAATCTCGAAAACTTATCTTTCGAATTCCCACCAAAGTCGATACACTCCCGGGGACAACCACAAAGTTACTTTGGTGGATTGATTTATATATAAGTAACTTATATGAAAATTTGTTGGTTCCAAGCTCTCACAACTGTTACTCTTCAATCTTTAAATGGTATGATATGAATTTTCAGAATATAATTAATATTCATATCAGGTTACATGAATAAAATATATAGAAATAATTGATAAGGAGATATAGATAAGGAAATTAATTAATTTAAAATTATATTTGATTCTCCGTGACTTGCATTTTAACTACCACAAGTTACCCAACAATCTATCTAAATAATCCTCTTTAAATTTGTTGTTGAGGAATGAATTTAGTTCCTTAACAATAACTTTCCTAAAAAATAGAAAATAGATATACCCCCAGTTTGAGACATGGACTCAACATTGTTTTCATACGCTATCAAAGGCGCCATTGTGGAGTTGTCTCAGCCTTGATCAAAGTCAGGACACTTTGTGTGACCCAATTCTCCCCAACTGCTGATAACCACTTCCTTTTATATTTTCTTCTTATGCACAGTGTACTTCCACATTCTCCCCCATTTTGTAATGAGTTGTGATACAATGTCAAACATATCCGTTTATATATTAATGTGAATGAAAAGAAATCAAATATTAAGGCTCTTTATAATTTTTCTTTATTAATTATAATTCAAAAAAGTTATGAGGAGGATTATCTGGTTATAACACCCACCAAATCTCAAAATTATTTACATGTATTCTTCTTCTTCTTCATTTTTATTTTTTATTTTGATCAAACTGAATCGTCATTTTTTACTATTTTTTCAAAAAATAAGGGAGTGAAATCCTCCACTTACTTGTATTTTGTATAAATAATCATTCAGTTAGACAATTCAATATAACTTTTCGGTCTGAGTATCACTTCTTCTGAATATAAACCTGTGATAATGTGATTTATGTACTCAAAAAGTGTTAATTTAAAGAAAAGTTCAAAACAACTGTGAGAGGCTCATCATAATTATGTTATCAATAATAATAACTCACACTTTCCCATTAAACAAATTTCATCAAGACCAAAAACATGCATCCTTTGCGTCCATAAATACAGTTCAACTCCTCATAATTCATCAGAAGCTAGAAGATCAAAAGACACCACCCAAAAAAAAGAGAGAGTAGGAAATGGGAAAGAAATTACAGCAAATGGTTTCAGGGCCATGGGTGATCAGATGGAGTTTTCATTGCATCCTCATCCTCCTATTTGCAATCATAGTCACTGCAGCCATTTATCAAACCAGATATAACAGCAGAGGGCTTCACTCCGATATTGAACACACAAAGCCAGAGGGTAGTGCGAGTACTGATCATGGCATCAACTCATTATCACACTGTGATTTGTTCTCAGGCCAATGGGTATTTGACAACACGTCTTATCCTTTGTACAAAGATCGAGATTGTTCACTAATGTTTGATGATTTGGCTTGTGAGAAGTATGGAAGGAAGGATTTGAATTATCAGTACTGGAGGTGGCAACCCAATGACTGTGACCTCCCAAGGTCTCTCTCTCTCTCTCTCTCTCTCACACACACACACACACACACACACACACACACACTAGAACTCTCCTAACATATGATCGATGCACATATATGTTTTTTGACATTTTTGCATGTTACATGGTTGAAATGCAAAGGTTCAATGGCAAAGCATTGCTGGAGAGGCTAAGGGGTAAAAGACTTGTGTTTGTGGGCGATTCATTGAACAGAAACCAATGGGTTTCAATGCTGTGCCTGGTGGAGGCATCCATCCCTCAAGGACTCGTTTCCAAGAACTTTCGAGGCCCCTTGTACACCGTCAAGGCCACTGTGAGTTCATATATGTTTCTATATATTGCAAGCATTACAATATTGCATACGTTTCATAACACAAATCTAAATAAAAATTATATCAATACATAATTAAGAGTAATAATATTTCATCTTCGATTTTATGATATTGTGTGGTGTTGCGGAGATCAATTTATTTGTACAAATTACAACAATAAAATAAAATAAAATAATGTATAGCACGGACTATCTGCGTCCCACCTTGTGCAGCTAAGCTTAAGGCCAAAATTTACATTATGATGCAAAGAATTTTTAGTGCACTACTCATACTTGTAACAAATTGTTGTTGAGTTTTTTTCCCGATTAGGTAAGATTAGTTGTGCTTGAGTTGGCTTTTGATTGGCCATTTATGAAGATTTGGTGGTTTTTGAAATGGGCTTAGGTTAACCATCAATTCCTAGCTATGGAGCTTAAGATTCGTCTGGTTCCATTTTATAAAAATGGGATTTTATGATTATGAATATATATTATTGCTGTTTTTAGAGAATTTGCATCGAATGTTTTTTAATGCTTTAACTCTGTTTTTATAAACAAGTTCAAAAATCTTTAACTAAGCAAATTTTTTATGCATCTGTAGATATGTTAGAAAATTATTCAAAATAAAAATAGATCAAATAGGATCTAAGATACCATAAATTTTGAAAATGGGGCAAGGGTTCACTGTAGTTTTTGCTTTTGTATGTTTTATTGTGCTTTTTGATACAAGATCTAAAGTGATTGCTAATTTATGGTTAATGCAATGCAGGAATACAATGCCTCGATTGACTTCTATTGGGCTCCAATGCTAGTCGAATCTAATGGCGATGATCCATCAAACCATCAAATATTTAATCGAATTGTCAGAATCAATTCTATTGAGAAACATGCTAGGCACTGGATTGATGCGGATATACTCGTTTTCAATTCCTATCAATGGTGGAGAATGCCCACATTGAAAGTTTTGTAAGTACTAGAACAACATTTTGATTAATAAAACTTCTCATTTGGGCCGATTTATCCAATTTGAATTCTAATACATATGACTATTGTCAGGAAGGAGGGTTCATTTGAAAATGGAGGCTACAAGGAAGTCAAGTACTTACATTGCTATAAGATGGCACTAAAGACATGGTCAAATTGGTTGGACAGACATGTA